AAACTTATATATGTTTAATCACAAACAAACTCACCAAGTCAAAGCAAAGAAATCCGCAGCCTGAAGCAGCAGCCACAGCATCCTGCTGCTGCTGCTGCTGCTGCTGGTCCTGCTGCTGCTGCTCCTGCTGCAGTTGATTGTAGGCGCTGTGTTTTGAAGTGTCTCGGGAGTTATTTTCTTTTACAGGAATATCGCGAAGAGGCAGCAAATTTTCTTTGTCTTCTTCTTCTACGTGCCGCTCATCAGCAGACCCCTCCTACACATACACCTCATAAACCCTAAACCCTAAACCCTAAACCCTAACTGCCGCATCAGGCCCTGTTAGTTGGAGCGCATGCAGCATTAGCGGCGTTGAATTGCTGCAGTTATTCAGGTGTATATACACCTGAATATTTGAAATAAAGGCATGTGTTGAATTGCTGCAAATATCGAGGTGTATGTACACCTGAATATTTAATAAGAATGCATGCATGCACTCACCTGCTGCTGTTGTAACGGACAGACGCTTTCTTGACATTGTTCAATGAGGGCTGCGGGTATTTCAGCCAACCTAAAGATAAAAATAAAAGAAATAACATAAAAAAGAAGCGAGATGTTTAATTAAAAGGAATACATTAAAAGCAAACAAAAAGAAAAAGGCTTTGTTTAAAACAATCTATGCAAAAAAAGAAAAACAACTAAACAGGAGATATTAACTCATTTATTTTGAGTTATTTGAGACGATAAAGACAAGAAAAGCAGCTGATTAAATTAATTAGCTGAGTAAAATAAATAAAAAGAAAAGTAAAAATATTTCTCTTTACGGCTATTTGCTCTAACTGAAGAAGTAAACAAAAACAACAGAGAATGTTTCTATAAATAAATAAATAAACAAATAAATAACTAAATATATATATATATATATGCAATATTGAAAAAAGAAAGAAGAAGAGGGTGGGTTCTCTCAATATATATTCGCTTAATAAGAAGAAATAAAGAAGAAGCAAAGAGAGTTATATATAAATATATATATATAAATATATATATAATATATATATATGATGATTGTTTATTTGTTAGTAGCACAAAGCAAAGAAATATTATTTGTTTTTTCTTCTTTTTTCTCTCACCGGCAAACCGCTTCAACAGGCACGCGACGTTTATGACCATGAGGGTAAATAATATGAATATTTTCTCTTGGAGTGTCTGCAACAGCAGATTCAATATTATAGGGATTCATTTGCAAGTATTGAGGTGTATGGGCAGCTGAGAGGTATAAAAAGAAGAAAGAAAGAAAAAAAAGCAGCAAAAATAACGCAGTGGAGGCGGCTGCGGCTAAGATTGAGGGAAGAAAGGAAGAAATAAAGAATGAATAAAGACTGTTGTTATGTTTTGAAATAAATATAAATATATATTTTAATTAATATGTACAGTCAATGCTGCTTTCTCAATAAAGAACCGATGCTGTACATACACCATGCGATGAAGAGAAACTGCTGAATTCAGGGAAAACAGGGGTGAATAAAAAGGAAAAAATAACCTTTTTAAAGATTTTTATTCAATTAAAAGAGAACAAAAGAAAGAAAATATAAAAAGAAATAAACATCAAAGCTAATCAAAGCCTACGGATCCCTCAGCTGTCGTCGCTGCCGATGATATATGCCCAGTGGTATATAGCTGCAAATCTTTCTTCTTTTTTTGCATTTTCTTTGATTATTATAATAAAATTTACATTTAAATCAATGAAATATTCTTAAAAACAAATTAAATTAATTCAATATACACCCTACAAAATATTTTCTTGTCTCGATATCAAACCACTGCTAGCCGCCCGATGCCTACGAAGTTGAAGGCTTAACTATGAAACCCTTTGTTTTTCTTCTGCTTATTTTTATTGTATTTAAACATAAAAAGATTATTTTTAATTTTTTATTTGGTTTTCCAATTCAAAAAACAAACTTTCTATTCTTTTCTCCTCCTCAGACGCACACCACCGTAAGTTAAGTTAGGCAGGCGCCGACATATATATATTATATATATATGCTGGGGTGTATAGGGAAGCCTCTTCAACTACAAAAGAAGAAAATAAATAAATAATATAATAATAATGCAATTAAATGTGTTGTTTATCTTTCTAAAACAATAATAACTGATATACATATACATATACATATACATATACATATACATATACATATACATATACATATACATATATACATACATATTCATATATACATACACATCCGTATAGATATACATACACATGCATGCATGCATATATATAGCGGCTTACTTAAGAAGAAGAAGAGGGAGGCCCTGCAGCATTAAGAAAGGCTTCTGCTCTCTTTTTTACATTTTGCATTACTGAAGACAGTGGAAGCGAAAGAATAATATTTGTCTGCGTCTCTGCAGCTTTTCGGTGAAGTTCGTAGCAGCGCTCCAGCCTCTGAAAAGCCCCAACATTCATTCAATCTTTCTATAATGCATGCATGCATGCATGCATGCATGCATGCATTAGAGAATGTATGCATGCATGCATGCATACACTAGGGAAATATGCATGCATGCATGCGGTAGGGAAATATGCAGGCATACATACATTAGAGAGATATGCATGCATGCATGCATTGGAGAGTGTATACATTAAAGAATCAAAGAAATATGCATGCATGCATGCATGCAAAGAGGAGTAGAAGTAAGCATAAAAAGATATAAAAACATTTATTAACGAACCTGTTCTGCTGTAGACACCACAGAACGAGTGAAATCTATTTCTTCATTTAATGCCTTCAAATTTCTTTCAAAGGCCTCTGCAACGCTGCAGCAGAATAAATAAATAAATATAAAAAATAAATAATAAATTACAATAATAAATAAATAAATATATATATATATATATAACTCTGCTTACATTTTCTCTTCTTCGCTGAGTTTCGCCAGTCGCTGAGGGATCTCCAGCCCTTGAAGCCGCAGCAGCATCTGCTGCTGCAGCAGCAGTTGCTGCTGCTGCTGCTGCTGCTTAGGATTACCCCTGCTGCTGCTGCTTCTCCTCTCTTTACTGTCCTTAGCTTCTAACCAAAGAGACAAGAGAGCTGCTGCTCCGCCTGCAGGTTTGTCTGCTGCACTGATGAGGGTAGGAAGCGGCATAGGCTGCCTCTCTAAAAGATGCAATATGAATTAGGAATCAAAAGAAACATACAAAAAAGAATATTAACATGTATGCATGCATGCATGCATGCAGAACGAACCGAGTGAGTCTCTTGTGCTGTCGCCGTCAGCTGTAGTCAAAGCTAGCAGAGTTTGGGGGTGTAAAGCTGCTTCTGTTTTTCTGCTGCTGCTATATTGTGCTTCTTCAGCAGCAGCTGCTGCTGCATTGTTTGCTGATTCTGTCTCTACATGAACTCCTAAAGCCCCTGATGCAGTGTTCTCTGCTGCTGCTGCTGCCGTTGCTGCTTCTGTTGCTGCTTCTTCCTGCTGAGGGCTCCACAGCCTTTCTTCCTTTTCTGTTAGCAGTTCAATCTGTGAAGTGGTTGTGCCCCTACCAAATGTTTCTTGAGAAGCTGCTGCTGCTGCTGCAGCAGCAACAGCAGCAGTAGCATTAGGATCAGCATCAGCAGCAGCTCCTGTTGTTTCTGCTGCAACTGCTTCAGAAAGCGGGGTGGTGGCTGTTTGCTGCGCTGCTGTTGCTTCACAGTGTTGGTTCTGTTGCTCTCCCTGTGTGTGCTGGGAGTCATTAGGAGTGTGAGGGCTTTGCATTTTCACTGGTATAGTTGCATTGCCGTGTACGTAGTATGCGTTTCCTTCGGGATCAAAGACAACTTCAGTTCCATTGCCTTCGCTGTCGAATTGAATCCACATCTTTGAACCATCTTCATTTGTTTTAAACGCTAAAACACCAATTTCTGTCTCGCGCCAGCACAAACCGTGCTCGTCTGGCTGTTCAACTTCTTCAGGTGTCTGTGCAGGTTCCTGAGATGAAACTGCTTTCCACTCCATGGGTGCGGAATCCATGATTAAATTCTTCTTTTTAGCGTTTTAACAAATAAAAAACTAAATTTGCAAGGTTTTAAGAAGCCAAAAATCGAAAAATGAAAAAAAATGAAAGAAGAAAAACAGATTAAATGCGCACGGCATCATCATGAGGTGTACAGACACCTCAAGGTATTTCGTTCAGAAACTGCAAAAAGGCTTATTAGAGTTTATTCCCAAGATAGACAACGTATCGTCTATATTATTTGTTGTATTTTGCATTATGTTCCTGTTTATAAGAGAAACTCCTTCAAAACTAAATTCATTTCTTCCACATACGGCTGAAGCAGGGGTTGTTACAACGCAGTTTGGGGGTGATCTTAACTGCAGAATCCGCTGTTCAATCGTATCTTCTACATAAAAAAGATGCACAGACACCGTAGACGCCTGCTGCCCTATCCGAGACAGCCGCCCCACCATCTGACGCAAACGCGCTGGGTTCAGAAGCGGCTCGCAGATCAGCAAATGCCCTGCAGCAGCAGCAGCAGCAGCAGCAACAGCAGCAACAACAGCAGCAGCAGCAACAGCAGCAAAGAACGAAGGAGTGGACACATTATTAGCTGAATTTATTATTTACTCTGCAGTGTCTGTCCTCGTTCTTACTTACGGTGAAAGAAGAAGTATACTGTTACCCCAGGAAGATGAAGCATTCAACAGAAAAAGAGCAAATAAAGAGAATAAAAGAAAAAAGGATAATAATACAAACAAACAGAAAAGTATAAAAAAAGAAATAATAATAAAATGCAGATTTAATAAAAAAGAATAAATAACACAATAAGAATAAAGAATAGAATAAGAAGACAAATAAAGAGAAACAGAATTTAGGGTTTAGGGTTTAGGGTTTAGGGTTTATTTTCATCTTCTTACCTGCAGCCTGCAATCCATCAACACCGTGAGAGGCCGCCATAGCAGAGAGGAGCAGCACAACTCTACTTCTTTCTGCAGCAAACTGTTTTATTATATTTTTGCGAGTTGCTGCTGATGTATCTCCGCTAATCTTCAGTACGCGTACACCGCAGAGCTGTCTTTCTAAAATATTTAAAAAGCAAGCAAAGACAGACGCAATCACCACCTTAGCCCGCTGCTCCCCCGCAAATATCTTTTCTAGCGCAGCTGCAACTCCCCGTGTCTTCGTGCTAGAGACCCCTCCTGCTGCTGCTGCTGCCCTGTGCAGGCGACCGCAGCGAAAGCCT